TGATACTTTTGATTTATGGTGTTGGAGGAGAATATTGAAAGTACCATGGGCTGCCAAAAGAACCAATAAATCCGTTTTCAAAGAAGTGCAGCCAGAGTGCTTCTTGGAAGCCAAGGTGGCCAAACTTCGTCTCTCATACTTTGGACCTATTGTCAGGAGGGACCAGTCTTGGAAGAAGTATATCATGTTTGGTTAAGGTGGAAGGTCAGAGAAAAAGAGGAAAACCTCCAACGAGATGGATTGGCCAAGTGGCAGCATCGATGGACTCAAGAGTGGAAACAATAGTGAGGTTGGCCTAGGTCGGGCAGTATTTCCTTCTATTGTGCATAAAGTCGCTTTGTGTCGGTACCAACTCAATGGAACCTAACAACAACAACAATTTATTGTTAATGTTGCTTATTCATCTAGCTGTGATGGTGTTTGTTTTCTTTATGGTGAGATGTAATCTATATTGTAGGCTTTGAGTCTCACAACATAAAAAAGTTTACACAACATAAATTTTGTATCTTACAGTTTGGAGGATAGTCTGATACAGATCTCATAATAAAAACAAAAACAACAACAAAAAAACATATTAGTAGGGCTTTATTTCTTTCTGGTAGCTTTAAGGGAAAGTCTGTTTTCTCTTCTCTAGAGGTTGCCTTCTCCCATCTTCAAAGCCAGTATTGTTGCATCTCTCTGACCATTCTTCCATAGTTAACAATTTCCACTTGCACTTTTAAGGATTCTTCTGATTATATTGTTAATGAAGCAAAATTCTACCTATCTACTGATTAGTAAACTCAATTCCATGAAAAACTCTAATATCCCTTTTACATAATCAAAAGTAACATAGTAACAGAGTCTGTGCTTAAGATATATATTGTTACTGTAGTTAGGAGCCATCAAATTGGTTCCCACTCACAGTGATCCTGTATAGGGTTTCCAAGGAGTGGCTTGTGAGTTTGAACCACCAACCTTGTAGTTCAAACTGGCCTTTCGGTCCAATGTTTTATCCCATAGCACAATCTTAGGACATATATTAATGGCATTTTTGGCCTACCATACCAAATAAAACAAAAACTGCTATTACATGTATGTAAGACACTATCATATTTACTCCTTTTTTGTTGTTGTAATACATAATCTACTCAACTGGATGATATTACAAGAGCTATTCATATCCTTTTACTTACAGCCCTCATAGATGTCGGTGGGAATATGCACTGCTGCGTGTTGATAAGATATTTGTCGTCCAAAATTAGCATCTTCGATAAAAACAGGTTTTATCCTTTGGCTTCCTGGCTCACTGTCATTTTTTTCAGGCTATAGAGAAAAAGACAGATAAGAAATATTGTTACACCTCACACCAACAAAGATATTTTTACACTTATGTTTTAATTTGTCAAATAGTCCTCAAGAATAAAGATTTAAATATTTAAAGATATAGTGCCACAATTTAACATTGGATCCCCAAATTTCTAAACAGATACTAACATTTACATTACACACTCATGATATCATTCACATTAACCTAACTTCGCTCTTAACTTCCTCAGTGTTAATGTTACACAGGCACATCCAGAGAGGCACAGAACTTTCCCAGATATAATGTTTATTAATATGTATTATTTGGAGTCTGATATGGTGCTGGAGGATAATGCGCTGGACCACGAAGTTTGAGCCACAAGGTCAGCAGTTCAAACTCAGCAGCCACTCCTTGGAAACTCTATGCAGGGTCGCTATAAGTTGTAATCAACCCGATGGCACTTAATAACAACAAATATATATATATTGAAAGAAAAGGAGAAAAGTATTTAGATATAATTAAACTAAAATTACCCCTTGAAGTAAACTTTATAATTTATGCTATCAAATTTATATTACGTAGTTGAGGATAACACTTGTTACAGACATGCCCACAATAAGATAATGAATGATGCTTTTATGTCATATTCCTTTGATTTTTGCATGCGTTTTTTATTTAAAAACAAAACAAAAATGTACTAGGAAAAAAAGATCTATTATAACTCTAAGTACAATTAAATTCTAACTTAACTGATCTGTCTCCCAATCAGTATTGCTTCAAGAATATCCCATAGGCGTTTAAAGTCAGAGATTAATGTTCTACCTATTCCAACTCTGCTTTTGATGCTGAATTACATCATATTTCTCCCCTAGAAACTAAAATTATAAATAATTTATACAAAATTTATTTGTATGCCAATTTAAAAATATTTTTAAAATTTTTCAGTTCAAATATGATTATGTTTTCACAAAATAAAAATATATGGATTAAATTCAGAACTATGTTTTCAACTCCTTTACATCAAAGATGAACAATTTCTGTTTTCCAAGGCTTGTCTCTACAAACATATATGAAGAAAATGACAACTTTGAACTAATTTGGTAGCACTGTTAAATAATATATGTGATAAACAACACAAGATTGGATTAGGGAGCACAGTGGCTCCATATGATAAGCTCTGGACTGTGAACCACAAGGTATGAGGTTCGAGCCCACCAGCTGCTCTGTGGGAGAAAGATAAGGCTTTCTGCTCCATTCAAGATTTAAACACTCAGAAATCCTATACAGGGTCGCTATAAGTTGAAACTGACTCAACAGCACTTCACAACAAACAACAAGATTGAATTGATCAACTGAAAATTCCCAAGAATCCTGATAAAAAGTGATAGCAAACTAACATTTAGACAAAAATATGAGCAATATAAGGGTCCTTGGTGGCACAGTGACTAAAGTACTCGACTGCTAACAGAAAGGTCAGCAGCTGGAATCTACCAGCAGCTCTGTGGGAAAAAGATGTGTCAGTCTGCTTCTATAAAGATTAACAACAACAAAAGACAAACATACTACCACAGAATGGATTCTGACTCTTGGTGACCCTAAAAGACAGAGGAGAGCTGGCCCATGAAGTTTCCAAGGCTGTAATCTTTATGGAAGCAAATTGCTAAGTGTTTTCTCCTTAGGAGTGACTACTGGGTTTGAACTACCAACATTTCAGTTAGCAGCTGAAAGTGTAACGATTATGCCGCTAGAGCTCCTTTGTATATCGCAGAAGGAAGAACTGTTTTGTGAAATTTGTGATCAAATTGGTTATGACTTTGGTGTGTGTGCACGTGAGTGCATGTGAGTACATGTGATTATGACTGTCTATATATTTGTCTGATAAAAATATTTGCAAATCGCTGACTTTTTTTACTCCAGAAAAAGCTGCACACAATTTAATTACCTTCCATTAACAAACTGAATATACCAAAGGACAAAATAGTCTTGTGGTGCAAGTCTAAAATTTGTTAAAATATCTACAAGCTGTGAACACTAGTAAGAATCTTTTCTAAAACAAGTTGGATATGGGCAGGAACCGAAGAAAGGAGAGAGAGAAAAAATATATTTCTGAAGAAAGAAAATTGTAGTGCAATATAACACTTAAACTATTTCACATAACACATGTCTTGATTATTATTGTTAATAAATGCAAGAGTAAATATAACTATCATTCTTTGATTAAACTGTGAAACTCAACACATTTTAAAATTTACATTTGGCTTTCTATTCTAGTGCATTATTGACTTGAATGAGAGAGCACACTGATTACCTGGATAATCTGAATGTACAGAAAACTCCAAATAATGAAAAAAAAGAATCAAGTTAATTTTAAAGCTGCAGTTCTCAAAATGTGGTCAGAAAAGCAGCATTAGCATCAATCACATATATATATATATATGTTGTTGTTGTTGTTATGTGCCGTCGAGTCAGTTCCGACCCATAGCGACCCTGTACAGGGTTTCCGAAGCTGTAAATCTTTACGGGAGTAAAAAGCCTTATCTTTCTCCCGCGGAGCAGCTGGTAGTTTCAAACCGCTGAGTTTAAGGTTCACAGCCCGATTCGTAACCACTACGCTACCAGAGCTTCCAGGTTTAGCAATGGTAATATATGTACTCTCTTGTATTTTTTCCCTCAATTACACAATGAACATATACTTATAACCTGAAAAAAAGGCACTTTTTTTTTTTTATTTAACACTTTTCTATGGGTGCTGTTAATAAGATGAAATGTTTCATCTTAATAAGATAGTTCATCTTAATAAGATGAAATGTTGCTTATGGTTTATTCTAAATCCTACACACTTAGAATTTTGCATGATTTAATACATTTTATGTACTTCTGATGTGGCGCTGTAAGATCAGCACTGAACTACGACAAACCACAAGGTCAGCAGTTCAAACCCATCAGCTGCTCCTTGGAAACCCTGTTATATAGGGTCACTAAGAGTTGGAACCAACTCAACAGCACTTAATGACAAAAATACGTTTTATGGAGATACTTATTCTTTTAAATGACCATGTGCAGGGTTTTAAAACTAATTTTAAAAAATAATGGACTTTTTAACCTGCATCATCATGTATCAAGACTTATTCTAATGCAAGTTATCAAATATATTAAAGAAAAACAATCCTGATATGCACATGAAATAGTATTATGAAAACATAAGTATCAGACAGAAAAGAACTGATATTTTGGACAAAATTTATTTAATAGGTATTGTCTAATATGTTTATAGGAATCCTGGTGTGGCGCTGTGGGTTAATGCACCAGACTGCAAAGCCGTTTGAACTGCAAAGTCAGCGGTTCAAGCACACCAGCTGCTCCTCGGAAACCCTATATAGGGTCTCTATGGGTCAGAACTGACTCGATGGCAGTTAACAACAATAACAACATGTTTATTGGAGTTCTGGTATGGCGCTGTAGGACCAGTACTGGACCGCAAACTACACAATTGGTGGTTCAAACCCACCAGCCACTTCTTGGAAACCCTAGAAAGGGTTGCCCTGAGTCAGAACTGACTCAATGGCACACAAAAACAACAACAATATGTTAATTAAAATTTTACATACGCCCTACCCTAGGATTTTAAGATTTCCTTGCATTTCAGACTACATAAAGGGAAAAGCATTGCAACTCTTTTCTGAACTTTTCTGCTGAAAATATGTCTTCCAAGTTCTCCAGAATACCCTACATAAATATGTACAGAGAAAGTGAACAGGTCAATATTAAATTGTCTTCAAATGTATTTGGTAAAACACACACACAAAACCATCAGAAGAATTTTTCTAAAACTATTCATCTTAATATAACTGCAGTTATTAAATAATAAGATAGATCACTTGGAGAAAGACATACAGTGAGGGTCATTCAGCTTTATAAGCAATACCACTATGAGTAGGAAATTACTCGACAACATTTAACAACAACAACAATATATATATTGTTGTTGTTGTTAAGTACCGTGGAGTCACTTCCGACTCATAGTGATCCTGCACAGGGTTTCCAAGGCTGTAAATCTTTATAGGGGCAGAAAGCCTCATCTTTCTCCTGCAGAATGCCTCATAGTTTCAAACTGCCGACGATGAGGTTAGCAGCCCAATTCGTAACCACTATGCTACCAGAGCTTCTTAATTAGCACATTTCAATTTAGAAAGTCACAATGACAATTCTTGGCAAATAAAAGAGGCTCCTGCATACTTAACACGTCCATCTCAAACACTTTTAGAATTAATATTCAAAATAAAACAATTTTAATATTTTGCTTTTGTTCATGTTATTAATGAAAAATGATTTCTAGTAAGATAAAAACGTTTGGAAATTGAAAATTTAGATGGTTTACCCAAATTTCACTGGAAATTATCTTAATTTCAGGCTTTTGGCTCTGAAAATTCTAATTCTTCTTATCTCTAAAAATTCTAATCTATGAAATTTAACCTACAGCAAATTATACCCTCACTACCTCTTCCCTGTGTGTGTACTCATACACCATGATTGTACAAATTGTGGGCTGATAAGATAAAGAATACATCAGAGTCCTGGTGTGGCACTGTATGATAAGCACTGGACTGCTAACTTCCAGGTTGGTGGTTCAAACTTGGAAACCCTATACAGGGTTGCTGTAAGTTAGAACCGACTCAAAGACATTTAGCAACAAACAATTTGGGATTGAAGCCCTATCGCCTAAGAATTTAATTTTGTGTAAACACTTCTTTATTGAAAATATATCAATAGCATATAATTATAGACAGCCTCCAGTCAAAGGGAGAAAAAATTTAATGTGAAGGTACTGGCTGGAAAATGGGGACAATTTACTAGACAAGCATGAATTAAAATGTTAGGTGGTCTTTTCTCCTAAAGTTCATAAGTATTATTCTCTCAGGAGTCCTGGTATGGCACTATAGCATAGTAGGATAAGCAATGAACTGTTGACCACAAAGTTGATGGCTCAAGTCTACCCGCTGCAACGTGGAAACCCTAT